AGAGAGAGAGAGAGAGAGAGAGAGAGAGAGAGAGAGAGAGAGAGAGAGAGAGAGAGAGATCAAAACACTAATATTTTTAATTGGACGAATTGTCCTTTATCCCATTTCAAGATTCTCACTTTGTAATTTTAAAGATTAAATTTTATACATTATCATTATATTAAAAGTATTGTAATGCCGTTCTTCTGTTAACTTTTCGTTAGTTTTTTTATCCGTGTCAATTGATGGAAAAAAATAGTAGAAGGGTCAGAATACAAAGCTTTTGATATGTTTAGGGTATAATATGAAAATTTTAAATTTTGATTGTACAAAGTTAAATTCTTAAAAAATTTTAGGGTATAAAGTTCAAAAAACCCTTTCTAATTTCCTGAACAATAACATTAATTTTAGCACAAAAGGGTTTCCACTGGGTTCCATCCTCATTTAAACTGCCATAGCTTGCTCATCTAATTTTCGAATGTGGGCTGAAACTTTGACCCAAAACTGTTTGTTCGCAAGAACATTCAGGCCTTTTTATCTTAGGCCCAACATTTATGGTCCAATTGAAAAAGTTGCCTTTGGGTTGTCTTGGGTGGGGCTGAAAGGCCGATCACATGGGCCCATCCTTCTACAATTGTGTATAAAACCAGTTTCGTTTTGCTGGTGCGTTTGTATTATCCAGTAATTGTGTTTAGTAAGTTCACGTGGATTCGTTTATTTGATAGGTTTAATGACTTCATCGGTGATGATACATAAAATATGTTTATACACCATTTATCAAGTCCTTAATGTAATAATTAGAAATGAGACTCAACACAAATAAATACAAAGATTAGATGGTTCAGTCTTGGTGGAAATGATGATAGTGGCCAAAAAATTTTATTGATCAAGAGATGTAGTATGCTAAGATTTGTGTGATGTTCCCTATGTATAGGCGGAGTTTATAATTTATAGGTGAGTGAAGTTGACTTCAAGGGGCTTTGATTGAGGGGCCTTCCTCGTAACAAAGAGTGTAGTGATTCCATGAAGTTTGTCTTATTCTCATAAAAAACGAGGTGATAGTGGAGTAATTGCATGAAACTCGTCTTATCTCATAACGGACGAAGTGATTTAGTGAGAATAGCGATGTGCCCTTGATTACTGTGTTCCCACGAATTTCCTCTCTTCAAATGGAGATTTTCACGTGCGCTGATGATGGGTTGGATCTCTCAAAAAGATAAACTTGATTTTACTGAAATTCCTTGATCCTGTAGTGGACTTGGCCTATTTATTAGAGCTAGACTTGGTCTGCATCTCTAATATGAACCAGACCCATCTATTGATATTACACCCGAATTTATTAAGAATAAATTCAACCTTATTAATTTCGAGTCGAATTTGTAAGTAGTGTGCATTCAAAATGAATAGGGTGATAAATTTTTTTTGTTTTTGCTTTTGTTTTTTTAATCTTTTTTCCCATTTTTTTTCAAAAAAAGAGAAACAAACAAGAACATACTGAAATAAAACAAATACAAACTCAAGAAGGGCCAAGGCCGAACGGCCTCCCAGAAAAAACGCAGAGAGAAAATATAAGCACAAAAAACATCAAAGACTCCTGAAAAGTTTAGTCAGAATATTTTAACATGAACGACACAAACACTTGGTAGAGTGGTAATGCAGTGTGACTCATAAAAAGCGATAAAAAAACTTGGAATAGGAGAGTAGTTGATCAGACTCACTAGGAAACTAAGATTGATGTAGTTCACATAATGAAAGACATTGCACGTGTGAGAATTCAATATCAGATATAAAAAAAAAGTACAAGTAAAAAAAAAGTACAAGTGTCGTAATATATTATGGATGAATTCACTGCTTATAAACTTAAATTTTTTGATGGATACGAGTTTTGGACATATATATTATTAAGGCTTGGATCATTGGGCTTCGTGTCTAGATACCTACAAACACTCCATTAAGAGAATTCTGGTTTTTTTTTCCCTTCGTATATACTTCTTAGATATTCCCTCTATGAAAAACATAGTCCTTAATGACATATAAAACAGAAAAAATTGATCTATAAATTGGATGAAAGAGAGCTCGATCCAGAAAAAAAAACATAAAAAAACAGAGTCATGGTGAGAGGGTTTGCTGAGAAATCTTGTTGCATTTTCTTTTTCCTCCTTGTGTCATGTATTATTTTCTCTCACTCAAAGACAATCAAACTAGAATAACTATGCAAGAGGATGGTACTCTACTACCATGACATCCTTTTCAATGGCACAAATGTGGCAAATGCTACATCTGCTAGAGCTGCAAATGCCACTAAACTGGGTGACCACCAGTTCGGCATGCTGGTTGTCTTTGACGATCCGATCACGAAAGATCACCATCTTCTTTCTCCTCCTATCGCCCGNCCCCTTTTTCGAGAATAATGTTATTTAGAGTTAAAAATCTAACATAATTTATTAACATAATAATGTGGCTTCATAAAAATCATTTGATCAATATCAAGTTCCAATGTTTAATGCTCCAATTTTGAAGGAGCAATACAACACTCTAATTTTTAAATCAACCCTTAACTCCTAAAGTATAACCCATGTGCATGTTTACGAAACTTAATTTTTTTTTATTTTGTACCTTTAAAAATTAAATTTTATATATTTCACCTTTAAAGTATGTAATGTGTTGCAACATAACTCTTCTGTTAATTTTTGTTACTTATTCAATTAAAAATTACTCCACTAATATTTACGAAATGAGCAATATAAGCTAATAAAAATATTACATTATAATATTTTTAATACATTGAAAGTGTAATGTGAAAAATTTTAATTTTTGAGGGTACAATATAAAAAATTTATTTTTTAAAAATACAAAATAAAAATTCTTAAATCTTTCGAAATGCAAAAGTATTTTACTTCAAAAAAAAATAAAAATAAATCCACATATCAAGTGAAGGGGCATAAAATTATGTCACATATATAGGCAAGTGATATACGCACGTGATCATGAAGATACAGTTCATGTGGGTTGTAAATATAAGCAGTTTGGGACGAACCGAACCGATCTGCAACAGCTTGATTCATACAACCGAACACAAGTACATAGTGCAATTGAAGATGTGGTCTAAACCGAACAACGAAAAAAAAATCTATAATTAGGAAATTTAGGTGCAACAACTAAGCAAAATCAATGATTCAGAAGAGCTGCAATTAATGGAGTAAATGAAAGATTTTTACGATCCCCAACAGACACTCTCGAATGAAGGG